GTGCCCCGTGCTGGGGGCAAGCAGAGGGCGGATTTGGTCCCTGCCCTCCTGGAGCTTTAAGTCCAGTAGCGGGTGAATGAAGGCGAGAGAAAAGGAGCGCAAGTCTTAGCCTCCAAATTCCTCCGCTTTTGAGATTAGCAGTGGATGAGGTGGCCTTGAAGACCCGGGTTCGAATCCCAACTCTGACTCCTCCACATGCTAGCTGCGAAACTTTGGGCGAGGAAGTCCCCTCCCCTCTAGAGTCTAGATGTTTCATTTCAGAAAGTGGGGAAGGGCATACCTGGGCCCCACAGCCTCACCGATCACGTAGATGAGACAGTGATTGTGGGAGGCTGGGGGTAGGGTAAACTCATTTAATATCAGCGCTTCCTTCTCCTTCCTGGACTCTAGTCTTGTTTGCGGCGACACTTTCCCGCTGCACACACACGCACACCTCTGATCTTCTGGAAGGAAGACGCACCTAGAATAGGCCCTTGTCTGAGGAAAGACCCCAAAACCCATTGCTCTCGAGTGGATTCCTACTCATAGCGACCCTGTAGGACAGGATAGAACTGCCCCAAAGAGTTTCCAAGGAGCTCCTGGTGGATTTGAACTACCGACCTTTTGGTTAGCAGTCGTAGCACTCACTCACTACGCCACCAGGTTTTCCCTAAGGAAAGAAGGGAACCGTAATGCCAAGGTCCCCACAATCAAGTGCTAAAACAAAACAAAGAAAAACCCAAACCCATTGCCATCAAGTCGATTCCGACTCATAACGACCTTTATAGAACAGAGTAGAACTGCCCCATGCGGTTTACAAGGAGCGGCTGGTGGATTCCAACTGCAGATCTTTTGGTTACCAGCCGAGCTCTTAACCACTGCGCCACCAGGGCTACTCCCTAAAAAATAAAACTGCTTCCTAGCAAGGGCAAATTGTCGCGGGGAAGCAGCGTTGCTGGGAAGTGCATTTGCTCCAAGGACAACATTGCAAAGTTTCAGAGCTGCGGAAGGGGCAAGGCTGGTTTCCAACACCTTCCTGTTGGCGGTCAGCGAGTTGCACGGAGGAGATGCAGGCTTGGGAAATTCGGCAAAACGGAGAAGTGGCGTTCAGGAAGAGATCGCCAGCCACAGCACACCAGCGGGACAAACTCTCCGCCGTTGAAATAGCCTGAGCAGGGAGAATGCCAACTCAGAAATAGATCATCCAACAGCAAGTCATCCTCCTGCCTTATGCTGCAGTCCTCTGGATGTCATTCCTAATAAGGCAACTGCTAGCCTCCTAGGTCTCTATCTCCTAGGGCTTAAAGAAAGGAATGGACCTCTTAGAAAAATACTATCTGCATACGTATATTTCAGGAGTGCAAGGTCTTCTCAAGGGTAGGGTGGGCTTTGGGGAGGGGGCATTGAAAATCTCAGTGGCAAAAGGAGCCAATTAGGGAA